TTTTAAGGGGCTAGTCATCGGCAAACGGTTTCTTCAGGGGTGGTGCCCTTGTTTTTTCTCTGGGTAAATGGATTCCTTGAGCCTGCTTGGTTTTGGTGGTAAGTTGTTCGGAGGGCCAGAAATGTCATCCCTCAAACTGGCTGGAGTTACGGGGCAAGAAATTGTTGGAATAGGAGCCCCAAGGCCCCTTGGGCTTTGAAGGGGTTGCAGTCTTCTTTTTGCAAGCCTTTGATATTAGTCACAATTCTTTTGATTTTCTAACTTACCAATTCTATGTATGTTGCATACCTATCATAGCTCAGCATATTTTGACTTTGGCCGCTGTTGATTCATAGTCCGCTTCACTTCTCGGCCTTAGTATCCAACCAATACACGTTGGGGTGGAGCATGTTAGGGGGCGTTGCATGTGCATATCAAGCCTGTTGGCAAAGTTTGCGCCGTGCCCAAACATAGGGGCTGCGGTCCCTAGATATTGCGACAACTGCGATTATTCCAAAAAGTGCCCCCCCCCAACAAAGCTTTGGTTGTTGTTCCATGAGTCTCCTTCAAGCCAGTTCTTCCAAAAGAGGAACCCGACGCGGTTAAGGCACACGCATTCAGTTATATAAAGGTGCAGGCTTCTTTGCCGGGCTATACAAATGAAGCTAGGGCAAAAGTTGTGGGGCGAGACTGGCGAGACGACAGATCCGACCCCCTTCAAGTGACAACTTGCTGTTCAAGACATACAAAACTTAAATACTTGAATCACATCGCTTCCCAAGCAAAACGTCAAAAAGGAAGATGAACATGGGGGAACACCTTTTTGCTGGTAGTGGAAAATGAAGGGACACCGAACAGGGTAAATGTCCAGGCAAGCTAAGTCTGGCAACCATGGCTGTCCTATGTAGCCTTTTTGAGGTTGGTCAGGGTGGACCAAAGGCAAACCATAACTTGGGTGCCGATTTCTCTGAGCGAAGCCCATAGTGACCATGTTCGTCACGGGTTTCTGGGCCCGAACTTGTCCAGGAAGTCTTAAAAGGACCCGTGACCCATCTGTTCATGTTTACTTTGCACAAGCTGGAGTCCCAAAAAACCAACAAATCCGGGCTCCCGATGTTTTCTTGCCAAAGCGATCTTGACGCTGAAGTGATACCATCGGCAAATGGATTCAGAGCCAATCACAAGCCATCGGAGGGCTAGGCCCATCCTAAACGGCCATGGCTCTGACACAGTATGGCTACCCCCTGCCCAAAAACATGATCACTGTTTGCAGGTGAGTTGGAAGAACGTGATGCTCCATAGAGTTGAAGGTTTTGTATGATCCAATCCAACAATTATCCTTCAGTACTTTTTGAGGGTGCCCTGTTCTTCGTGTAAGAGAAACCACCATTTGTGGTGATCCTCCGACCTTGACGCATGCTCATGTGGGTTTGTCTCCACCATGGGGAGCCAAAACCATAACTTTCGCTTGTTCCATGTCATTCGCGCCTGGGAATATGGGAGTTCTCCGTCCTAAAAAGGCTTCCCTGAACCCGCGAAAGAGGTCCCTGGCAAACGCCCAACACATCAAAGCTTCAGCTGTTCTTTGGTCCACCTTTGCAAGGACACTGCATGTAGACCTCTCAGTTCTGGCCAAACGAAAAAGCCCTTGTAGCGTGAGAATTGTTCACTCACCCACATATGGAATCCTGAACGCGTCTTCGCCCACAAGCAAGTCCAAAAGAAAAACCAGGCATGTGAAAATCAACCGATGGCTTGACTTTGCGTGTCCTTTAGAATCCTTCACTGGTGGAAAACACGCCATCCAACTGGATTCCTCTGAAACCACGCTTGCGCCAAAAGACAATAGCAGCTAACTATAGTTGGCCATGAGATTGAAACAAAAACTCCCCTAGATCTTTGGACATGAATCCCCACCAAATTTTGATGTCCTCGTGGTTTCCCTACCAACCAAAAAGGGGTCCACCGGTTTGAGAAACACTCAATTGCTTAGACCCCTTAAGCAAACCAAGAGAGCTGGGTTAAAATATGTTGGCGACTTATGTGCAGGACATTTAGTTGGGGCCCCTATGGTGGACAGCATTTATGGCGAATCACGTCCGCTACTTCCCATGCTTCCGGGTATCCCCGATTGATCTGTTTTACCCGCAGCCCCTGTGCCACCCTCCATCCCTGCGCGTTTTCCTTATGCATAACAGCCGCCGCGGCGGCCTAGCGGGGTGAAACCTCGCCTTCGTGACCCGGCTCTGAGGAAACCAATGAGAAGACCTGACCAGTCAGAACCGCCAAGCCTCCAGCCCCGAGATACATGACTGGAGGTCTGAGACCATCGACCGCGTGCCAAATGGGATCTGGTTGACCTTGCACCACAAGAAAACAACAACGGGAAAACATCAAAAGCCACACAGGACACGTTCTGAAGGGAGGTGGTCAAAGGGGTTCTTAGAAGAAAGCATTCTGATCATCGTTCACTAAACACACGGCAATCGGCGAACTCCAAGTTATGATTCGGGGCTGGTGGGTGCCTTATTTGTGCAACCTACAAACATCGCCTGACCCGAAGGAAACTCATCACACAAGGTGATCTTCAATTTCCCAAACCTTGGTACGATAGCAACAAAAGCGTATTTTGCAGGCCCCGCGAACAATGAGCAGAACCAATAATTTGGAAAACTAAAACACGTGCAAAGAACAGTGTAGTTAAGCCACCCAAAACGGCACATGTACTTGGGTGACCCTAACGAATTAGGATGCTACACACTGATTGTCCTTTGGTGCAAGCTGGAGCCCGTGTGTTGAAGGGATGTCGACCTCGCATTACTGAGCCTGGAAAAATGACCAAGGGCTTCTCCAGCAAGTTGCGGAGCACCCCTCTTAAAAGGGACACCCCCTCTTATCAGCCGGTGTCATCTACTTACCCCTTAAAACTCCAAGGGATTCGGGAAGTTCTCACCTTTTACAGACATATGGCCCATGTTTTCCCCAAGAAGTTACGAAAAGTTGTGTGCTTTTCAGAGGTAGGTCCAGGCTTCCCATGGCCCGCAAGCTTTGCGTCGCTTCCCACTCCGTGGGCCCACCGAGCACCGAAGACTCGAGTCTTCCGAAACGGATCAACCGCCAAAATCCGCGCCGGCCGACGGCCTGGCGATGCGAAGGGAACGGATGAGCCGGCAACCAAAGACCCCCTGCGAATGCCGGATTTTTGTGTAGGGCAGGTGTGGGCAGCTGCGGCTTTTCATGGGAAATTCCTCCTTTAGACCGGGGTTGCCGCAATACCCCAACGAGAAGGTGGGTGTTTGGAGTAGGGGGAACCCCCTTCCACCAATTTGCTACCCTAGAACACCCTGCCCTTTCGATCTTCAGGGCCAATTTTACCAGGAATGCAGCTGGCAAGATTGAGGAAACAAAAGTCACATTTGCATCTGGGGACGCCAAAACAGACGTGAGATGTGTCTTTGGATACACAAACAAATGCCCCTGCATGAGGTAATCAGTTTGCTTGGGCTCAAACAAGAGGGAGGAAATGGGTATCTTGAAGCTTTGCTGATCCCTTGCCAAATGATAAAAAGCAGTTCGTCCCCACTCTTAGATCAAACAAAAACAACTAGAAGCCGAAGTCGGTAGGTCTGGGAAGCGGCACCCTACCCGACTTTCTCTGCAGGGCATGACTCCAGCTTGTTCCTGTCTAACCCAACCGTCAGACACAACAATTGCTCCTGGGGGTGTCTCCGAGGGTGGAGACTCCAGGTGGGCTTTAAAAACAAGGAGTTGAGCCACGCTAAGATGGAGTTTCTAACTTGAGATCCTGCAAACACATACTGCCGGGACCCTCAAACTAACCTCGTTTTTTTTTTTTTTTTTTTTACAAACAAACAAAAAACATGTTTTTTTTTTTTTTTTAAACGCATAAAATCATTTTTGTTTCTGATGGGGTCTCGAGTTCCTGGCGTGGGAAGTCCAACTAGTTCAAAAAGTACTCCGAGCCCGTAGGGCGCTTGGCGAGGGCCGTCGGTGGAGAGAAATCTGGAGCTTAGTGCTGGTTTCAAACTGGCTAGGTCATATCTGATATTCCCGGACCCGGACTTCTTGTGGATCTGTTGCTTGCCACCAGGGGGCCCTGTTTTGTTAATTGGGGGGCGGGGGCCAAGCCTCACTCATGCGCACCAGTGCCTACGAAACATATGTTCTGCTTCTTTCATGGGCTCAAGGGCTCTAACATGCTCAGCCGCTCCTGGCGTCACTCAGCGAACAGACCGCAACGTGTCCCCTTCGCAGCGGGTGGGCAAGAAGCCACGGGAGTAGCACGCGCGGTAGCTGATGAAAGCTAACTTGGCTAGCATCCTGAGGCAGGGTTTAGCCTTTTCGACTGAAATGAACAGCCTCCCTTGAAAGGGTTTCTACACCACCAGGGGGGCTGCTTATTTCTCCCGTTACCAGTGGAAAAACGGCGGGTTTAAAGAGGTCACCGACAAGCAACAGCAACCCCGTTTGGCTTTCTAAGATGTGCCCTGCAGCACGAGCAACACGCAGTTCTTCGTTGCGCACTTGACCAAACTGTGTGGCGGTGCAAAGAAGACCAGACACAAACCATGGGCATCCTGTACCACTGCAAGGACATGCTGCAAGCGGTCGTTGGGAAGCTGCAGCAAGCAGCTCAGACGCTCCCAGGCGCAGAGGCCCGGCACACGGCTCTTGAGGAGAATGCGGTAGCGCCTTGCGACCTTTTGCTCTTCCACACAATCGGAACTCCACGAACATGGCCTCCCTATCAGGTTCCAGGTACGGAATTCTCAGAATCAGGGACCTTTGACCCTCTTCAAACCATACCAGAAGATCCCTGATTTGAGAAACACCAAATCTTTTGGGTGGTGTCCAAACAAAAAGACCTACCAAAAATGCTGGTGTCACTTTGGTTTCCCTTTAAACAACCCGAAAACAGGTACCGTCAAAAACGAACGAGTACAGTCTTTGTTGGGGATGGAGACTCCCTTAAACCAACCCCAAACCCTGTAGGTTTTTGAGTTCCGTCGCGTTCAAACAGCCATGCCCCAGCCCTGCGCACTCAGGTGCCCCGGCACGTTCGCGGGCCTGCTGCTCGCGCAGCCTTGCCGGTTGCTGTTGCATGTTTGTCGCACCGGAGGCAAACCCACAACCCCGTCTCACTTCTTAAGTGGATTGGCAAAAAAAACACACATGGTTTACCAGAAAGGAGGTCTTCCCAAACAAAACTTACATGAGATTGCGTGGATGCTAAAGAGAGCCTGGAAAACATGACTATACATATTGTTTCCAAACAACTACACATAATACAACAAACACAATACATGAAACAAGACACATAAATGAAGACATAAACAAAGGACGAAACAAAGGCATTATTACCCGTCCCCTTTTGGATTGCCTTTGGGTGAAGCAAAAGTGGTGGCATTTAGCACATTGAAGAACATGCGGTCAACTCCAGCGTCGCTCATCCTTGCTTGTGAGCACCAAGTGGTATAAACGTTGATGGATCTGTTGAGTTCGCCAAAAAGAAGAGCAACAAGAGCCAACATGAAAAAACCACACAGAGCTAATCAGGAAAACCACAACATGACCCCCACCCCCTCCCCAACAAAACAAACAAACTAAATAAGGAACACCACAACATGACCCCCCAAAAAAAAGGGGAAATGAAGCAGGAAGATGTGGACACTCGCGAGGCCTCGGCAGTCTGCTGGAACCGAAAATTGCCCATTGCCTCGGAACCGATCGCCGGTGGAAAATGTGGGAATGACATTTATAGTGCGATCCTTTGATGGTTCTAAAGGGAAACCAAAAGGGAAACCACCGACTTGATTTGAGGTCTTCTTAGCTTAAACACACCCATATGGGCATGATTTCTACCTGGGGAGCCAAAGGCGGACACAATTAATGTGGGGATTCCAGTCTTGGAGGTGGTTATCTATGTCCAACAAAGTCGCCATATCACTAGGGGATGTATTTGTTTGACCTTGTGTAAGGTTGGTTGGGGAATGTTTGGGGGCCCCCTCTGTCACACACCAAAGTATGCATGTGCTGGTAAAGGATTGAAACCGGGCACTGAAACCAGTGCCATCTATTTTCGGAACGGACATGGAAGGACAACAATCATAGGGTACATGCTCAACAGAATGGCATTATTTCGATATCTTCCTGTCCACATGTCATGATTATTGGACAGAGTTAAAACCCCTTTGGAGAACACCAGACATATATACATGGGGATTGTATGTCCAACAGCCATTCTTGAGGTTTCCCACGTCACCCATATATCACCAGCCATACCGTTCCTCCGAGTATGAGAAGCTTAGAGTTTAAATCATTTGTGCCACATCCCATTCAAAGCTTAAATTTCAGTCAGGGATCAACGAACCACTGAGGTTTGGAGGTTAATGTTCTTTGCCTTTATCTTCGGTGCCAGTGGGCAACTGCGTGCTGGCTCTATCTAGGCATGGCAAAGTCAAGCATCCATTCAATTTGACCTGCCTACTACAAATATCAAGGGAACCTCCAAATCTTGGCCCACGAAGAAAAAGGCAAACAGAAAATACATTTTCTAGGTTCTGTTTCATATGTAGTCTCGCCGGTTAAAGGGAACCGCCCAGTGGCCCATTGCTCTCTGAGCGCCGGTCTCGTGGATTCACGGCGCCGCCACGTCCTCCTTCCTCAGATCGGTGGCAACCATATCGCTGTGTAAAAATAGGGAAACCTCCAAATGAGTCACAATCAAAACCCGGTACAAAAATTGTCGACCCAGAACCATGTAAAGAACTAAGCAGGCGGCCGCAGCTATTTATTGCTGGGATCGTCCCTTACGAACCTTCACTTACCCGGGTTTTGAGCACGTGGCTCAAATGGTCTGACCGGCAGAGTTTGTTCTGGTCAGAAGATAAAATGTTTGAGGCTTGACGCAATTGTCCCAGAAACCCACCAAAAGGGGCTTAATGTGTGCCAACTCAGCAGGTGAGTACGTGCGTGATTGAACATTGGGAACCTCAAAATATGCGGTTTCCCCCTCGCCTTCCCTTTAAAAGACCATCCCAAATGACTACGGTCTGGCTGTTTTCTGCACGCTTTGTCCCTGTGCACTATGTTGGTTGGGCTTTCAACTACACGCAAAAAGTTCAAAAGGTCCTGCCAGGCGAGGTGTCCAACACGGGTCTTTTTGTGAGTAGTCAATACGGAACCGCTCGTCAGGAATCCTTCTGTCCTAGACGTGGTTGCTCAAAGGGTCTGGAAGGGGCTTCCTTCATGACCTGCAAACATCGATCGGAGGAGTGACCATGTATGTAGGGGCTCATGTACCTGTGGATTTCATGTTCACCTTCATGTCGAGGGTCATTTTGTGGGAGTTTGTTTGAGAGTTGTCCAGAAGGCCCTGCAGGGAATGCAACAGGACCCTTTCGCGGGGGCTCAACCCCCCATTCATGTTCTTTCCTCCATTGTCGCATCTTTAACGGGGAAATATAGGGAGGTTCGTTTCTGGCAGAAGGTTCTCCTCCCGTGCGTGCGTGGCTTTCTTCTGACTTCTATGTAGATTGTCTTAAAATAGGGGACCCCAAAATGGTTGGTTTCCCTTCGGTGTGCCTTGAAATCCAACCAAAAAAGGTACCCTCAAAAAAGACGCCCTCACTAGTTTCAACCAGACCCCATGAAGCCAACCAGGATTGCCCTTGAAAAACTGATTGAAGGCCAAAAGGGGCAGCGGTCGTGAGCTCTGGCCAATTTTAAGAGCGCCGCCTATGGTGGTCCCAGCAAACACAAGATTTGACTGGGATGAGCTTCCTTTTTTGAGAGCAGTAAGGGTTTCATCCATCGCAACGGTTGGTTTTCCATCCATCCAGACTACCACGCCACTGTCCTTTCACACTTCCCCCTTGCAACCAAAGGACCTGGGTAAGGGATAACCTGGAAGGGACCCAGAGAACCACGGCGGCGCCATTTTGAGGCTGCTTTCCAATCCTTAAAGCTTGGCATGTGCTCAAAATGAACAGAACCCACTGCTTCACACTCCCCGCGTATTTCGTAGCGGTCAAACAGAACTCTACAGAGATTTCCTTCTAGTCACAACAGAACCTGGAGCACACACACACATGCAAAGAACTGTATTTAAAAAAATAAAAAATAAAATCCCCAGCTGAAGGCTATGACGTCTCTGTCCAAACACGCTGAGTTCGAGGATTCGAGGCTGGGGTTCCCGGGATTGCTGTTGGGAATGCCAAAAACCGGTGATATGGCTGTGGCTCAAAAGCATGTACCAAAATGGCACCTGTCGCAAATGATCCTAGCTTGCTCTTGCAAAAAAACACACCCTGAGATGCCCTGGGCCCATAAGCCGGGTCATTATGCCGAAATAGCCCAGAATTGAGTCATTTTTTTGAGAAGCCCTTCCCGCTACTCCCAAAACCCCCTCTATTTAGGGTATATGTGAAAAGCCGGGAAAAAAAAAACAACAACAACATTTTAAATCGTGATAAACACCCCGTGTTTGTCAGGGGTTGACATCGTACTAAAAGGAACAAAGAGAGGGCATTCGGAGTGTGGGGTTGTTATTGCAGCTTCTTCAAGGACACCCAGTGTCCTTGCATAAGGGAAATCATTACTTTTGAGAGGGTCCCCTCACACGAAGCCTACAGAGCGGGTTGTGGCTTGCCGGCCGAGGCTCTCGTCCGAGGTCTCTCGCGTCTCCGCGTAGGCCGTGTAGATCACCTGGATGCCGCGATTCAAAGGCGCAAACATGTGGGGGCGAATTTTAATGAGGGGCCCTCTGATGCACATCATTCAGGTGGGGATTTATGTCCACCGACCCCACAGTTGGACCAGGAGTATACCATGTTGTGTTGCGCCATTGTGACATTTGGTCTCCGAACGAGCAACGGACTGCCCAACAAATATGGTCCGTTGCTCATGTGAGGAAAGCCGTCAATGTCCAACTTTGAAAAACAAAGTCTACCTTGTGGCAAGTAAACCAAGCACCAGACATGGCTCAGTACCGAGTGTACAACTTTTTCCATACCCCCTCCACCAACCTCTAAAAAACTCTGAATTTCCCCTCCCCGCCCATGTTTCTTTAGAAACCGGACTTATCCAAGAAACTATCCCCAGGACATCCAGGGAAGCTAGCCCAAACCCCTGGCTTTTGTGGGTGCTAATTTCCTGAAATGTCCCGATCGTTTCTTGGACCGTTGACTATCGCATCCAAAGTACACAGAACAAGAGATGTAAGCCTAGCCCTGGGGTTCGGGGGCCTTAAAAAGAAAGGCCTTTAGGAAGCGGCCGTGAAATATGGGGAACGTCCTTTGTTTGCAAGCTGGACGCTTTTAATTAGGTTGACCGTTTTGTGTTGGCCGCATTAGTAGCCACATGGCTTTGCAGTGCTTGTGGCTAAAACGTACGCTTTCCAAAGCCTCGCGAAAACCATGTAGACATGTTGAAGCTCTTCAATGCTCAAGGTCTTCAACTTTGCGGGATTTCTAGAGACATTGATCATGGGTTTAACAATGGGACATCGACAAGGGACAATCGTGAAAATATATACCGTGAAATTGGCGTGAACGCTTTTTTTGCAGTGAAAGACCGTGAAACGCCGTGAAATTTGGCAGGCGAAAAACCACTCACATTCGTCCTGGCTGGCGTTGTTTGCTGCTGGGTTTGAAAAGGTCCTGCTGAACGGATGTTTCGGGCAGACCACGATTGTTCCATTGATTGTGCTGCTTTAACGTTGAGGCCTTCGCAAGTCTAGCTTGGTGTGGCTTGTTGCTGACAATGTAAAGTTGGAATTCCACCCGGGCCCCCATCCCCCGGCTAGTCAGACAAAGGATGTTCATGTAACGGCCTTTGTTTCAACAGCCTTTTACCCCCCAGGGCTAGGGTTCTCCTTATTTCCCCCTCTTTGGAGACGTGTCGACGTGCGTTATCGGAACCTTCGAACGGGCTTCTTCTTCCCTTCAGCTTGCCTTACCCGGCACCGAGCCTGACTGTATACACATCCCACTAACATTTCTCAATCTAGGGCTCTGGGATGGCTTTAAGAAGAAAAACGCAAAACCCAATCAGCTACCTGAAGAGCCAAACATGGTGCCATGGTCAAGTCCTATGGGGTGCCGTCTCGACTTTCTGCTCTTGAAACACTTACCCTTTTCACAACAGAAAGGGACCCTGTGAGCGTTGGGTTTTTGCACACACCTAATTTTGCTGCATTCTGGCCAAAACCGAGGAAAAAAATTATTCTGGGACAATGTGCTGGTATCATGCAAACAGTTCTCCACCTTACCCCCCCCCTTGCAGATGTCAGGCTCCTGTCCAAAACCGAAAAAAACATCGAGAAATCGAAAGATTCTGGGACAATGTGCTGGTATCATGCAAACAGTTCTCCACCTTACCCCTTGCAGATGTCAGGCTCCTGTCCCAAAACCGAAAAAACATCGAGAAATCGAAAGATTTTGTCCAAAACCAAAAACAACCTTGAGAAATCGAAAAACACCAAAAAAACCAAAGATTCTGGGACAATGTGCTGGTATCATGTAAACATTCTGTTGGCCAGATTGGTTATTTTTGTTTTTTCGATTTCTCGAGGTTTCTTTCGGTTTTGGACAAAATCTTTCGATTTCTCGATGTTTTTTTTGATTTTGGATTGTTTCTTTCGAATTCTCAATGTTTTTTTGATTTTGGACACCTTCTTTTGATTTCTCGATGTTTCTAAGGCTGCCTGCAGCAAAAGCTTCAACACAGGACAGCTTTGCAAGAAAGAGCTTAGAAGGTTTTCAAACACCAAACAACAAGAAAACCAAAGGTGTGGCCAGCCCGACAACACAGCTTCAGGTGACAGCAAGTCCGACAGAGTCCTTAGCTTCCAGCCAGCTTGCACCCAGCCCCAGCCCAGCTAGCTTAGAGAAGAAACAGTTCAGCGTAAAGAAGTTTTTTGGAACACCAGAGCAGCAAGCCAAGGAGATAGAGCCTGTGCTATCTAACAGGGTAGTTCCATACCAGAGGCAGCAGCAGAGCAAGCTGCAGAAAGAAGCTGCACTAGTGATGTCAGCTTACCTCCAGAAGCTAGCAGAGCTGGAGAAAGAAGACCCAGAAGAAGCTTTAACAGGCAGACAAGGTGGCAGGCCTCCAGTTCTGGAAGAGCGTAGAGGAACTGCAGGTGGGCAGTTAAGCAACAGGAAGAAGGAGACAGGAAGCAAGAGCTTTTTGCCTTTCAGAAGATGAAGCTTAGTGAAGAGATTCAAATGATTCTGGAAGAGTCTCAGCCTCAGAAGCAGAAGCTTGGGCAGTTGCAAGGAGAAAGTTCAAGATGAGCACACAGAGGCTGGAAGATTGCAGAAGAGGTTTGCCAGAGCAGCTAGTGGAGGGAGAAAGAGAGAGTTTAGCAGAGAGATCTCTCAACTTGGCAAGTGGTTGCAGAAAGAAAGGAGTTATAGCCACAACGTTTCAAAGAATGAGCTGCTGAAAGAGTTCTTTGCCCTTCTGGTTGCAAGGGCAGAGAGCTGCATGGTCAGGGCAGAGCTTTGCAGAAATGAGATGCAAAGGAAAGCTTGGCTGAAAGAAGCTGACTGTGCCCTACAGAGAAAGACCAAGCTCCAGCAGAGCTCAAAGTATGCAGCTTCTTATGTAGAGAAGCTGATCCAATGGCTAGGTGCAGCTTACTTGAGCAAAGACTAGACTACTCGCCTGGCACCAGTTGAAGAACAGGCGCGGGCCCAGCCTTCCAGGATATTGACAGAAAGCTCTGGCATCTAGGTGCTTGCTCCAGTTGCTGAGATAGAAGATGCACATTTGGTTGCAGATGCAGAGATGATAGTTAAGAAACGATCCTCACTGGTAATCGGCACGAGTGGTCAAGTCCCACTTTGGGCCAAAGATCCAAGCAAGAAGTTGGTCTTCTCTGCAGATGAGCTCAAAGGTGCCAGTTGGGACGACAGAAAGAGGTGGACTGAGATCAGGTAGGAGCTGAAAGCTGCTTAAGTTCAGGCAGCTGAAGAAGGTTACCAGCTTGTCAGTTGGGCAGATGTAGGAGCAGGGCCTCTCAATGTTGCAGGTAATAAGGTGATGACAGGACAAAGTTCAGATGAAAGGTCTCGTAGGTCATGTCTTCTGCTGCAAGTGCCATCTTAGCCCAGAGTGGAGGGTGGGACGACTCAGTGCAGGATGCAGATGGATTGGATGCTTTCTAGCTGGCCAAAGTTGCAGCGCAGATCGCGGTCAGAGGATATATACACACATAACTGCACACAACTCCCCAATTCGGAAAAACACTTGTTTCACATGGAAAATACCCACGCTGAGGGGGTCCCCCTCTCTTTCACAAGTGGTACCAAATTTCAGGCAAATGCCGCCCATCCCCTTGGGTTTGGTGGGAACACTTAATATTGTTCCCTTAAGTTTCAAGTCCAAAAGTCCAGAAGTGAGCCGTCTCTCCACCTCGGTGAGCCGCGAAAAATGCGCTTCCTGTTAGCTTCCCTTGGCCCAACCCCCCTCCCACACCCACACCACACCCCCCAACAACAAAAACAAAAACAACAAAAAATACAACAGGTTCCCCTGGTTGCCTTCCCCCCAAGTTGGTCAGCGGTTTCTTTTTCAGGTTCCCTCTAAACCCAAAGTGGACAACCCCTTGTGGCTTCCCCTCTGAAAGGACACCCTTCTTGCTCGACCGAATCGAAATCCGAGGTGCGGAGGGGAGGATGATGCAGGAACCCAACAGCGTGGAGGAGGACGGAAGCTCTTTGAAGGCAAAAAAGCCCACCTCAGCTTCGAGCTGCGCCGTGCTTCGCGCGTCATTTTGGTTCTACCATAAGAGGCCTGGCTAATGGTCAATTACAGTGTGGTCCAAATCATGTGGCTTGGTTCCATCAATCTTATAGACACTGCTTATTCATGATGGCTGCAAAGGCATTGCACCAGTTCTTCTACAAAGATGGTTTATTTCAACATTCTTACATAGGGATTGCTGTAACCTCTTATTGCTCTCCCACCAATTCACATGGAACCTGACGTTAGGGACCCCGTCCCTTTAAAAGGAACATGGGCTTCCAGGTTCCATGTGAAAAGGCTCGGAGGGTAAACAAGGCAACCGGCCAGGGTGCTGTTTTGGGTGCTGGTAAGGGTGCTGTTTGTGTGCTCACGGTGCCACGTATTTTGAAGGTGTGCTTTGATGTGAGGCAAGACCGGTCGCGAGAAGACCAGTTAAGCATAGCGCAGGCGGGCCCAATTGTTCCAGGTCACCCTTGTTTTACATGCATCAGTTTCGGACCCCGCCCTCCCGCGCCTTTTCCAGGGTACTGTTTGGGCGTGCACAAATATGTGCTTGGGCGCGGCTTTATATAAGGGGACCCCCGCAAGAATGGGGTGGTCGACGTTAATGGAGACGATCGCCAAAAGTGGGTCAAAACTCCCCAAGATGTGGGTCATGGTGGTTCCCTTGCGCTTTGCACGGACAGTTGCGTCTTGGCATTGCTTGAAAGGCGGACGGCCATCCCTAACGAGAATGTTTTGTCATAGGATACCCCTCCTCCCCCCCGCTGAAGGTGTCTTATTGAAGGGGTGGCTGGGGGGCATGGTTGGATCCGACGCAAACCTTCCCCCTTTCGGCCACATGAAAAGGGACAAGGTCGCTTCAAGGACCCAGAAACAAAAAGGTATCAAAAGGATAACCTGCTGAGGCCATGACTAAAAATGGACCAACATACGAAAACCAAAAGGTCAAAAGGTGTGCTTTGGACAAGTCAGTAGGACTTCAACCAGCGTGTCTGAAAGCCAACGGGCACCTTTGGATTGGCAAGATAAAACATAGAGGCCTCCCTAGGCAATCTGTTTAAGACTCAAGCCCGCCATTTCGACTGGGGGGTTAAAAGGAGGGTCTGGAAAAACTAGAGCATTTGCCATCCTCTGGCTTTTCTTCTGGGAAATCATGATTGTGCGGGCTATTTGGCACCCTGTCGACATATTCGACATCACATGTGGTCAATACTTTGCAGTTCGCTCCAAACAAAGTCGAAACCACGGAATTTACAGTGGATCATCTGTTTCTCACGGGGGGAAAACCAATTTGACGCAAGTCGTTGTCAATGCTCTTGGCCTGCAAAAAGGGTGTCTGGACCCTCAAACCACCCTGGAAAATAGGGAATCAGCCCACTAATCTGTGGCCATATCAAGTTCTTCAGGGAAGCTTGAGGGTCCGGGTACACGGAAAATCATGTGTTCCGACTCCGTTTCCTGCTTTGCCTACCTACTATACGATTGCTTTCGGGGAGATCCCAGTACTGGTTCACCCGAAATGTCCTGGCTTCTGAGGAATGAACCGGGAAGGAGTCCCTTTTAAAAGGAAGCCACTAGGGCTGGCTCCTGGGGGCCATTCTCTCATGTTCTGCTGAGAACCAGCAACCGGGGGATAACGAGGGTCTGGAAGACATGCACCCCCCTGCCGGTTTGGAGGAAAGGTACTCAAAATACCCACGGTGTTCAGGTTATTTTTGGGAAAACCTGGTTTTCCATGGCAAATACCTCATTGTTTAGTAGAGGGTCGACATGATACCCTGAAAAACGAGGGTATTTGGAGTAGGAAACAAATTATACTAAAAACCCAGCTGTTTGATTTCTGTTGATCGACCCAGCAGATCCGGGAAAACCCTCGGACACCTCTGACAACTGGTCAGATTCCTGGACGTTGGGATTTTTGGAAGGTTTTTGCAGTGATGAAGCCAACCCACAAGGGAAAAAGGGTGTCACTGAACAAATGGCCATACCCTCCCTCCAACACTCATAGAAGCCATTGGAGGGTTTTGGAAGATGTTCCTTTCGGGGAACTATTGTCCACTTCCATGATTGAGATCCGTCGATTGCTTCCCGAATTCCCGTGTTTTTGGAGGAAAGGAACAACCTCCAAGGCGGAAACGGCGGGTGCCACTCAAGTCGCAATGGCGGAGAGAACGAACTCCGTGTATCGGTACCTGGCAAGCCGACGACAATCTCACTTGGACCTGGGAAGAAAAGGTAAATTTCTTGGAACCTTAGCTAAGTATGGACCAAATCAGGAAACCTGTTATTGTTTTGGATCCTGAGCAAAAAATATGGACCAATTCTTTTTTGGAACCTTGACAAAATATGGACCAAATCAGAGACATCAAAAAGGTTCAGAGGTCGATTCACTTTCTGCAAGTATTTCCATGTACATGGCCCGATCCGTCGCTCACCGAGCCACGGCCGAAGAGGGGTGATGATTCGCCTGACCCAAGAAACAAGAGGTATGAAGCCATGGACAAACCCAGGTTGTTCCAAGACCAGCCCAAAACCCTTGGGTTTTATTTGGAGCTGTGACCAAACGACGACCAAATCCATCGCAAAGTAAACTTCACCTCTGCCTTGACGAAGGCCCCTACCGCAAGTACCCGGTTGTTTTGGGGGTATATATTCGGGAAACCACCAGCGTACCTATCGAACGTGGGTATGGCGTATTGGGAGAATTCGCCTTTGGCGGACCCGACAAAAACAACGACAGGCCATCGACTGCAAGATGGTATGTCCCTGGACTCAAACTACCCCTAAAAAGGGGGATGCGCACAAATGCGATAGCCTTTTTTGCAGTGACTAACAACCAAGTCCCGCATTTGATAACACCAACACATATCAGAACTCTGCCATACTGACTGCCTATGCTGCACAACACGATACTGTACACAAGACAAGTTGAACATCGCACACATCACAGAACCAAACAGGGTTGCTCCAAATGGAGTGGCCAATCCGAGATTCAATGAAACAAAACTACGAAGGAACCCCATCGTATCCTTTCGTCCGAGAATTGTTGCGGAGTGGATTTGAACAGCTTGTCATAGTACTAGTACCTGGAGTCTCCTTCTGACACTCAAAATTTGCGGTCATGACTCGTTTTTGGGTAAGAAGGAGACTGTTAATCCTAAGTAGGAGGATTCGCTCCCGCCCATCCAAGCAACTTGCTTCGTTTCTTACAGTTCTTCTCCACGCGGCGCCTGAGCGGGCGGTCCTCCGCCCCCTGACCGCGCGTCTTTGCGATAACGAAAAAACAAGTAACCACGCCAGGCAATCAAAACCCGGTATTAAAATGGTCTACCCAGAACCACGTTTCAAGAAATAGGAAGGCGGATATCAACTATTTCTGGCTGGGACTGCCCCTTAACCTTCATCAATCCCCGGGTTTTGAGCAAGTGGCTCATATGGGTTTGTCTTCAAACATACGGAGCCTCATAGACCCATGGAGGGCCCTTTGCTTTTGGCTTACTCCAGACACACCCATCGCGGCCCGGCTTCGCCGGGCAACTCCTGGCCTCCTGGCATCGGCAAAGCAACGCATTGGAAGCTTGCTGATCAGTGCCTCCATTGTCTCACTTGCCCTGGTTTGTTGTGGACCTGGAAATAGAAGGTCGTCATAGGTTGCCACTAGTCTTTGCCAACAATTGGGCCATGAGAATGATTGCCCTCTATTGCCATGCAGGGGAAACTAGGTGAAAAGGTTGGCTTTGGGCAAGTGAGCTATGCAAAAGAGAACCCATCTTCCAAAATCGCCTTCGCCGGTTCCCAGACCCCCACTGGAATTCCATGAAAAACAAGGGCGCGCCGTTTTTTCTCTTTGACATTAAAGGGAACGCTCTCCGACATACGAACAACACATGCAGTGGAGGTCTGGGAAAAGAGATAACTGGGAGCTGGGCAGATCACCAAGGTGCCTTGAAAGACCCCACGCCTCCTGCCAGCTTCGCACCGGCCACGGTTTTATCGAGCCTATCCACGAGATCCTTGGCGGACTCCAGGAACTTGCCGACTGGATCCTCCCGCCAGAAAAAAAGAGGTGCGACACTTTCTGGGGGCCATGTTTAAGCCGCCAAGAAGGGATGGAGAGGGTGAAACCACTCAACTGGGAAAATTGGGGATTGAAGGGATTGAGAATATGGCTTTCCAGTTTGTGTGGGTCCGAGACAAATGGGTGTATCGTTTTCTAGACCCCCTCCCCACTAATTTGGGGGTTTTTAAAAATTGGGGAACCGATCCTCCAAAAAGACACTCCCATAACTGAGAGGCTCGCCCAACTCTGTCCTTAATCTGGGACGGCTTGAGTCCGCTGATGGTGCTCTGCGTGCTGGTCAGGGAAGACAGAATCCTCGGCTCCCATCCCCGTCCCCAAGTCTTCTCGCCAAGGCAAGAAAAACAACAAGCTAAGCTAAGTCCAGCGATTGAGATATGGGACAGGGCCAGACAATATGCTGCTTTGTGCATCTGGACCCTCAAACTGTCCCTTAAACTTTGGATATTGCCATATTGCCTCCAAAGTACGAGCGATCTCCCGTTTTTGGTGGTGAACTGTAGGGTCCCGGTCCTGCCAAGGCTCGGCTTCAGCGACACGGACTGCAACTTCTTGAGCATGCCCAGCAGCTCCGTCAAGAGCTCCGGAGCCTCTCTCCGGATCAAAAGTCGGCTTGGTGGTTTGGAGCCGTGGCTGAGGTGTCCGACTTACCAAAAGCCCGGCAGGTTCGGAGCCGGCCCGGGTGGTAACCGGTGACCCTTTTACACAAAGCAAGGAATTTGAACGGTTCAAGTCTCTCACCTTGTGGGATCTCACTGCCAGAGCTTGGCCAAGACAAGGTTTCAAGCTTCATTTCTGTTTGCCACAAGACAACATGCCCAACAAGCATCAAGCTCGGAAACTCAGGACGAGAGCGATGGCTTGAAGCACAATTTTCGGCGTCCCTTCGATTTTGTGGTTTGGGTAAATCCCAGGGGTGAAAGTAGATGACATTCCCTTTACGCGAGTAAATAAAGGGATGGGAAAAAATGTGGATGGATTGTGCCATCTGCTTTCCGCCCACAGTACTGTGTAAGCCATCTCCTTTAAGATCCACCTTTTAAGGGGATGCGTAGTCGGTTTTGTTTAAGGGCATGATGTCGACCCGCCCCAGTATAAAAGGAGGCATTCACCATGAACAAAAAACATGAATTTCCAAATATGCCCTTTCAAAAGGCTATCTGGAGGAAGGGGCTCATCATTTTCTGTGCACCCACTGGGCCAAGTTCCAGCTACTAGTAGCATGGCTAAGTGATGGCTGCGTCAGCATCCTCGTCGCCCAGAGGTAATTTGGACTCTCGAACTATACCCTGAAGAAATGGGGGCAGCACCCCATGGTCGTGAGGCAGCATGAATCAACCTGTTGCATGTTTGTCTACCTGGAGTCTCCTATGGGGTCGCAGCCTCATTTTGGGTTGGGCACCCCTGTTCTACGATTCAGGTCTGTTCTTCTTTAGGGCACACCTTCTTCGGGTGGCTTTAAAAGGAAAGCCAAAAGGAACAACACCACCAAACTTCCAACAACAAAGCCGAGGCCGAGCCCGGGCTGCCACCCGTTTTTGGCCCTTCGCCTGTGCGCACAAGACGCTCTGGAAGGCGCAGAGCGGCGCCGGGAGGTCGAAGCAGCGCTTCGCCGTGTCGGGGGCGGACTGCAGAAAGTCCTCCAGCTTCCTCGGCTCCGACCCCCCCAAACACTTCTTGCGATCGATCGATGGCCGGGGAAGGAATGGAATGAACCCAGACAACCGCCCCCGCAGGTCGCCCAACTTGCGATCGATCGATCGCTGGGGAAGGAATGGAGGGAAACCCAGAAAATTCCTGAAAGGAAACCACCCGTGGAATGGTTGGCACGGGGAAGAAAAAAATCACGGCCCCCACTTCTTTCAGGTTGGTTGATTTGTGAAAACCAAAAAAAAATCGGGCTTCCACTGGTATATAACCTCGGTCTTCAGGTTGGTAAAAAATTGCGCCAAAAAAGGGCTTCCGCCCTGGTCCCCTGGGTCCGTTGAGATTCACAAACATTTACCCCCCTGCTCCCAACCAAAAACACGACGCGCACCAACGACTCGTACCGTCTTCGCCCAATAAATTGTGCCGTAGCTTCTCCGCGCCGCTCTTCACCGCATTCACGGCGGTGTCCACAATGCTCTTGATGCCGCCGAGGGCGGCCAAGGGCTCATCCAGGTCGCCGCCGTTCAACGCCTTCTTCCTGAGGCTTTTGTGCCCAAAGAAGACACGAGAAAGCAAGGCCAGGTGGGTGTGGGTCAAAAAAAAACGGGACCCAAGGTGTGACACTGGAAAATGGGCACAAAGAAGAAAACCTGCGGTTTTCTGGTGGTCTCATATTGACCCATACCGGCCCATGCCCATGTCATTTTCGCCGCCTGTAAATAAACATATATGTAGGCCTAAATATTGCAAGGGCAACAAAAAAACACCCCCTGCTTGGTTGGGTTTGGAGGGAAATCAGAAGGAACACCGAAATCCATTTTGGAGGTCCCCAAAAAATGTGTTGCGTCCAAAGACTGTGGGGGCCGCTCAATAATTAGTATGGAGTTGTGGGATAATCAAAACCATGGGTCTGTCAAACTATTGGTATCTATATATAGACCCTGGTATTCCCATTTCTTTGTGGTGTACATCCTCGTGGGAAAGACTGCCTGCACGCTCAAACGAACAAGTGTTGATAATGCAACCCGTAACGCATGGGCTGATTTCCCTTTAAGGGTCGTTTGAGGATCCAGGTGCCATGCCACTGGTGGTCTCCATCCTTCGTGTGAACAATGGGGACTTCAAAACGGGTGGTGTTCCTATTGGTTTTCCTTTGAAGCACACCCAAAACGGGGTACCCTGCCTCCCACTAACATGGCACCTGACAGGGGGTCCCTTCAAGAGGAAACTCATCTACTAGGTACCTCCCCATAGGTGCCACGTTAAGGGAGGGTACCCTCAAAAAAAGAGACACCCAAATACGGTTGCTAATTCACACTTAACTGCATTGGTGCGGTGTCGATCTTCGCGATGTCGTCCGGACTGTCCAGGCCCTGGATCTCCTGACATGCCCACAGCCCTGGTTGTGGTGGTTGTGTCTCTTTTCTGCGGGGGACCCCAAAATGGATTTTCGGTTTTCAAGCT